GAAAAAAGATCTAAAAATCAGCACATATAATACTCATAAAAGCTCCCAAATCCTGTGTCAGACCCTAAGCGTTTCAGAAATAAAACAGACAGAAGGATCTACGTAGGCAGTAATTATTGAGCACGTTTATTTAGATTTTTAAAAAAGAAAATGATTTTACTGTGCAAGCCATGGTGTCAGTGTGAAAGGATCTTCTGATCACAATGGGAGCCTTATCTCAGATCCACAAACAAAATGGGACAGAGTAAGGGGATGACTGGATTAAATTAGGTGACCTGGCTTTGCAGCCAAGTTGTTTTGTGGTTCTGTATGAATCAATGAAGTCGGCTAACATCTGTTTCTTAGTTTTCCTATTTGTTAAAAGAAGAAGTAGGGCGAGGCAATGCGTAAAGGGCCTTTCCAGATCTAAAACCTGACGATTATCAGAATTCAAAGTCTATAACTTTCCCAGTCCTGCTAGCTTATTTATAATGTTTTATCATTTTTATTCTTGGTCATGCTTCTCAGTATTGAGAAGCTTAGCATCACCCCAGATCTCTGAATCTTATGATTCTTTACCTTATGAAAAAAAAAAGACCCTGAAATCCTTCCCCCTACACTAGGCAGCTCTGTGGCAAGATGCTGCCAAAAACAGGTACCAAACCCAGTCATCTGGAGCTGATGTGCAGGTGACAGGACCGTCACCTGAGCTCCGCCCCAGCCCACAGGGTAATGGCTCTTAAGAGGTCTGTGTGGGCTGAAGCCGTGATTACACTCCACATTTGACTGAAATCTCACAATTCCTGAGCGGGGCACTTTCCCCAGTGGAGACAATGCAAACTTGTCATTTTGCCTGTGGGGAAATCTAAGCTGGAAGAGCTGAAAGCTTGGACCTCACTAACTGAAATGAGAATAGCACCGTTACAGCGTCCAGATTAGCGCATCTGGGCTCCCCGAGACTCCAGAGAGGTAATTTTAATGTAGAAAGGGTTCCGGGCGACAGCACTGAGGTCAGGATGCCTCTTTCCCATTAAGGAGAGCTGCAAGTCGCCCAGCGCCAAGTAGAAGGCTGCCTTTCCCCCCACCTCTTTCCACAAATGTCACAGGAAAGGCAGAACTTACATTAAGACTTAATTTGTTTGTCATCATTTTGATGGCAGAAACTATATGCGTGGGAAAATTTCTCATCATGACTGGGCTGGGTTTAAAAGGCTGAAAGACATTTAAAATAATTCACTAGGTACTGTATAATAAGTTTCCAAAAAAGTATTTGAGGTGAAAGGGTGTTTTGAAACAAAAACAACATATGCACTGTGTCCTTAATATTCAGGCACAGAGTACAAAGTACTAAAAAAAGAGTAAGTGAAATAATTTGTGCTGGGAAATCTTATTTTAAAAGAGAGTAAGTGAAATAATCTGTGCTAGGAAACAAAAATTTTTTTTAAAGAGTAAGTGAAATAATCTGTGTTGGGAATTTTCTTTTGGTTGGATTTTATGTTTTGAATCAGAGGTTTGGCAAACTTTTTCTTACAAGGCCAGAGAGTAATCATTTCAGGCTTGTGGGCCATATGGTCTCTGTTCCCATCACTGGACTCTGCGCTGTGTCGTGGAAGCAGCCTCAGACGACACTAAGTGGAGGGGGGTGGTTGTGTTCCAATAAAACTTTATTTGCAAAATAGGTGCCCTGTCCCAAGACCGTAGTTAGCCAGTCCCTGTACTAGATGCTTGCAAAGCACGTGAGTGCATTACTTCATTTAACTCTCATGACAAACGTATGCGGTATGTGGTCTCATCTCCCATTTTGCCCATTTTGCAGGTGAAGACACCTGGGCATAGGGGTCATGTGACCTGACCATGGCCATAGTCGATGCCTGGAGCTGACGTCTGACCTCAGCTCCTAATCCAAAGCCTGAGCTACAATACGCAGTCTGAGGTGCCCCTTAGACCCTGGCTGCTTGTTTAAAGAAAGACGGAATACTGAAAATCATTGGTGCAGCTTTATTTTTTTTTTAAATTAAAGGGTAGAGGAATGAGCCTTCAGTTGGAATGACCAACTCAGAACTAAGACATCTTCTGACTTTGAAAGTAAACATGAGAATAGATAGTTGTTGAGAAAACTTAAAGAGATAATTAAGGAAATGCCTATAACAGTTAAAAAACAAATATGCAAGAAAGCAAGTAAACAAAAACAAAATTCTCACCATGGAAACCAAGAAGGGAATGCTATTACAGAGGGAAAAAGTGGTGAAAGAGGCAGGTGAGTGCTGTTGTAAAAACACCGCATGCCATCAGCTTAGGAGGGACTGGAGGAAATGTACACAGATGATCAGTGAGAGGTTACCTGCCCATGCATTCTTCCATTTTCTTCTTCTTCTTCTTTTTTCTTTTTTTATTTTCTTGATGAGTAAAACTTTGTTCCAGTTTTGGAAAATAACAAAATGAGAGTTCTTGTTCCTTCAGTACTTCTGTTTTACTCCATTCCCTTATCATGCTTCATTGCATTCTGCACTTGTAAATATATATGACTATATGTACATACTTGCGTATTTTGACTGTCATGATACCAGTCAGCTGCCCGTTCTTAAATGTAAGTCATTTCTTTAGTTGTCTGGCCTCTAGGTCTGATTTACGCTGTATGTGAAGTGGAGGCAGAGGATGAAGTTTTCCGACGAGGTTTGAATTCTCCTAGCTTTTAAAAAATTGCTTCCTGGATAATAACTATATTTATAATACTTCACATCACATGACATTTAAAAATACTTATAGCAGCTATATTTTTGAATAGGTTGTACTGTTTTTCATTTTTTCTCTCCCTCTCCAGGGGACGTAATACCCAAACATAGCATTTTCTTGTCTCTGATTAGCTCTCGAATTAAGCTCTGCATAGACTGCACACTGCAATCAATTTTTAAAGAAGACCATGGCATCCAACATTTAAAAAAAAAATCCAGGCAGTATCCAGACATCTTTCCCCAAAATCTTCTTAGTTTATTTATATCCGTGGGTGTTTATTCACTAAGCACTTGGACCTTCATGTATTACTTTACGTAAATTTCTTGAAGTCTCTTTATTGATTCTTCTTTTAATAAAGTGAATGATGTCAATGATTAGTGCAGCTGGATGTGATGGTATCTTAAAACTTTATGACTAATAGACTAGAGGTATTAAATATTTATGTATGCAAAGCACAGAACTCAACCCAAATCCGACCAGTTCTCTGGATGCTATAAGATTCTACACTTATCTGTGCCTTTGAAGCCCTCCCTTTTTTTGCTTTTTAAAAAATGTGGTAAAATATATATAACCTAAAATTTACCATCTTAACCATTTTTAAGTATATGAGTCAGTAGTGTTGAGTACATTCACAATGCTGTGTTAAACTTTTAAATGGCATCTCTGTTATTGACATTTTAATCAATGTCGCCAAACATAGTATTCTGTGAGAAGAAAAACTATCAAGATGTATTGGTTTCATTTGTTGCTGATTTAATACAAACTCATAAAAAAAAGCTCCTAGAGGCATCTTAAAAAAATCTTTTATGTAAACAATATGCCACCAAAGACTGAATGTTAGATTTTAATACTTCAGGAAATTAAAAAAATAACAAAATTTTTTTTATGTTTGAATCCTCATCATTTACCAGCACATGAAATGTTTTCAGGAGACTTTTAGCGTATTAACTTTTCCTTTTTAAACAACTTTTTTTTTCATTTAGTTAATTTTAAATGTTAAGCTTTAAGGAGAGATTTAAATCATATCAAGACACTAATGAAACAGGATTTGATTAATTTATGGCCAACGAATCTTAAAAAGTTTACAAATGAGTATGTTTTCACAAGTCTTCAAGGTAAATGAATATGCGTGATCCTCATGTCTCACAGACTGGACAGCCAAAGGAGTTAAAAATTATAAATATTTCTGAACACAAGCATAATTTGGTTAGTGAAGAATTTTACAAAATACAAACTCTCACTCATTTTAATAATAAAACTAAAGGAAGTAGACTATGGCAGCTGTGTTTTAGAACTGGAGGAAAGAATGACTTAGCTTAGCCAGCTAAATGGGCAGATCCCTTCTTCAGTAACGACATGTCTTGGGCATGTCCCCCCTCCCTGAGAGTGCACTGGAGACACCCACCCGCGAAGACACTGTCATATTCTTGGGCCCAGATGTTGTGCAGCCTGTTTTTCACATAGAGTCCTAGAAACCAGTGTCTGCCCCCTAAATCTTGAAATATTCCCAAAACAGAGACTCAATTGGACTTCCTCCTGAAATGAGGTTTAAACGGAAAATCTTTTCAATGTAAACACTTTCTCAAATGTGTCAGCGTAGTGGTTGATGCGGCTGAAGAAAACGCAATGGGTTCCTGGGCAACAAGGCTGGACCCAGTTGGTGGCACTGCTTCTTTCGTTAGTCCCTCTTAAACAGCAAGGCTAGTCAAGGAGCCTGCTCACTGTATAGGAGGGGACGGAACTGTCCCTTTAAGAAGGCAAAACCAGCGCAGCCCAGTAAACACTATTCAGCTTTTCTGTGATGAACAGGGATCAATAAGTACCTATTGGGCAACAGTCGATACACCCATGTCCCTATGTACACTGATATGGACTAGAACAAAGAGTAGAATGAATATATGCTGATATCAGGGCATGCACGTATTTGGTATTAGATTCACCATATGTCTTTTTTTCTACAATCAGAGCATCTAGCCTCACAGAGGATTTAGCAAAAACACTGTTATATATTAGGGAATAAAATCCAAACTTGAAAAAAGAAAAAAAAAACACCTTTTGATCTGCCTTATCAGTTACTCTAGCAAAAACTAATGCTAACTAAGTAAGCTGGGGGGTGGGGGGTCAGCTCGGCTACAGCATAGTTCTTACAGTAAGTTCTGGCCACTGACACCAACCTTTTAGGAAGATGGAACCTCCTAATTGGCACAGATGAGTCCTTACTGTGTACACAATGACCTGAAAGCTAAATCATTTTAGTGAGGATAAATATTTGTTTCTTTCAGAGCTACCTTCACGTTGAATGTTATTTCCTCCATGACGTACACGCGTTCAGGAAATGCTTTAGCCACCTCCTCCACACTGTTGAAATATTGCACTGGCTCCTTTATATCTCGGTCTTGTTCCAGTAGCTTGAATTGCCCTAAAATACACGATAAACAGAAGAGATGTGAGATGTTTACACTGGACAGCTGTCACCATGGCGACAGCATCCCCCCTTCCTTATCCCACTCTGCTTTGTCAAAGGCTTCTGAGTGTTATCATTAAAAAAAAAAAAAGTCACCATGGCAAAAGGTTTTCTTGAACTAGGATATATATTTAAGAATCAGCTTAAAAATGAAAGCAGATTTTTTTTTCTCTTTTTTTGCTTACATTCAGACTTTGTCACCAGAGGCTCAGTATTGAATTGAATGGATGCCTACTCACGACATGATCTGGACGTGAAAACTTAATGTTATAAATAAGCATTTTAACATTTTGTTTTTAACGGTAAGTCAAGCTGTCATTTAGTTGTAATAATGCCCTCACATATTATATTCTAAAAACCAAGGTCGAGTGACCTGGGGGAGTTGATTTTTTAAAAATTAGTGTTCAAAAAATTTGCAAACATAATACAATGTAGCGGACCCTCAGCTGTCACAGGTACCCTTGGTTTCAAGAATACCCGGGTGAGGCTGATGGCTCGGGAGCTGCTCTAATTCGCGATGTTGCCGCGACGCACGCGTGGGGCCTGAGCAGAGGAGGCTGACCGGGGGACGAGCTCCCTTCCAACGAGTGAGCCACGCAGCATCTGGAGCGGCACGTGGCTTCCTTCTTGCCTTTTTATTGCTGTGCATGAAATTCACGAGCGTAGACCATACTCTCGCGGTATCCATAATATGGGGGATTTCCGAAGAACAAATTCCTAAAGATGCCAAGGATCTATTAAGCTGCTTGAATATTTGTGATACTGCTGCTGCATTCTAGAGCAGTTGTTTTCAGTTTGGAATAAAAGACCCCGAACAGCCAAGTCCACGACACACTGTTTCTGGGTGGTCACTTTCTGAATGCTGTTTACAATACAACACTTGAGGAAGTTGAAAAGGAACGAAAACTATGATGAGGCAGATCTCTGCACGCTTCCATGGGGATGAGGCAGTCATAGGGAAACTTTCATACTTTCATTTATGCTCTCAACATATATATATATATTGGCATCTATTAGGTAGAGGCATTATTCCAGATGCTGGAGATGAATCAATAAATAGACCAGTTAAAAATCTCTGGCCTTCAGCAGGAGACAAATGGTAAGAACAATAAACGAGTAGAGTGTACGTTAGAAGGTGAGAAGTGCTATTAAAAATAGAGCGTGGGTGTTGGGGAGGGCGGGGCAGCCGGAGGAGGCGTGGCTGAGAAGGTGACATTGACAGGGCTGGGCCGTGAGCTCTCACAATTCTAAACACAGGCAGCAGTCTACACAGAGACCCTCAGGAGGAGGGATTGGTGCGTAGTTGGCACCAGTGTGGCTGGAGTGGGCTGAGTAAAAGCTAAGAAGAAAGAGAAAGAAAGTTTGAAGAAATAATGGGGGTTTTGCACTGTTTACAGCTTTGAAGAACAGGTGGCTCTTCGCCTGAGTGGGCTGGGGGGCCCTCCGGGGGTTTGGGTGGAGAAGAGGTGATCTAACCAATGTCACAGAAGAATCACTCTGGTTGCCATGTGGAGAACACACTGTAAAGGTGCCAGGCACAGAGGCACAGACACCAGTTAGGAGGCCCCTGCAACAATCCAAGTAAGAGACAGCAGGGCTGCGGGAGCCGTGAGGAAATGTCCAGACTCTGGCCTGAGCAACTGAAGGAGAGGAGCTGCCGTGAAGTGAGATGGGCAGGTCTGGAGGGACTGGATCTGGAGGTAAGACTGGGAGCTGCGTCTGGACAGGTGAAGTCTGAGACGTCCATTAGACATACAAATGGAGATACCCTGAAAGCTCTCAGATGGACATACGAGTGTGGAGACGAGGAGGAAGGGCTGGCCGGAAATAATTAAATCTGGCAGTCATCAGCACACGGATGATATTTAAAGCCACGATACTTGAACGATGATGACCACTGGCTTCAATGTGGACTGAGGAGAGGTCTCAGATTTGAGCCCTGGGAGCCTGAGGATTGGCCGGGGGAGTAAGAGGGAAACCCAGAAGTGGTACATTCTAGAAGCCAGGTGATTCAAGTACCTCAAGGAGACGAAGTGGGAGTGATGTCAGTCGCTCCCTCCAGGACTGTGAATGAGACCCGAGAACCTCTGGATTAAGCAGCTTGTATTTCATTGGGGACTTTGATACAAGCCGTGGAATAGCTGGGCCAAAGCCTGACTGAACTGGCTTTAAAAGAGCCTGAGAAAGGAGAACTGGGAATACAGAGTGGGGCCATTTCACAGGGCTGCTGGCCTATGAAGAGATTTTCTTCTGTCGTTTGGTTCACATTCTGGGGATAAATTTTCTAGAGTGAGATTACTAAATCAAAGGGTACCACACAATTCTTTATGTTTACCGTGCATGGCTACATAGTTTCCCAAAATACCTAAACCAATTTATACATCTACCAAGAGGCTAAGTTGGAACACAATCTTGCCATCACTGAGTATTTTTAAAATTCAATGCGTGTTAAATAGTATCTCTTTCCTGTATTAATTGGCATCTTTTTGAAGATCAGTGAAGTTAAACATTTGAAATTTTCTTGTGCAAATGTCTGTATAATTATATAATAAATATATCTGACATAGTCAACATTTCTTTTCAGTTCTACAGACATATTGAAGAGCCTGGATATTGGATATTTATACTTAGAAGTCCCATTAGCACCAGATTCAACACGTCTAAATTCAGGGAAGCACAATCTTTGCAGGCAATAGGTACTTAATAAGTGTTTACTGAATACAAGAAAATTACTTGAGTCCTGGGATTGGCAAACAATGAAGCAACACAGAAGTAATTGCAGGTTTTCAAAGATGTAAATAAAATGTGAACTCCATTACTGTATACGAAGTTTGTTTCTGAACAATAGATGAATGTTTTCACTCAACAGAGAAAGAAAGCAATGGTGAGCCTAACAATCATTCAAATATGAATAATGTTCAGAACTTCAAGAAATAGTTTTCAGGAACCAAGCCACTCAAAGAACAGATTAGATAAGCAGTTGAAATTATCTTCCAGGGTCTTTCAGCATCGGGATGTAATATACAAGGGAACCAAAGCAGTCAGCGTTGAGAGTTCACATGTACAGGTCCATCTGGTCGGAATACCCAGAACCATCTGACAGAGACATCAGATGTTTGCCAACATGTCCAATACCTGTAATTGTGATTTATGTTTTCTCATTTGTTAGAAGATCTGGAACCTGAACCAATTCAAGCTATCATCAAACTAAGTATAGTTTAGGAAAGCCTACAGGGTCTCTTTCCATGAGTATGAAATAGTTTATTTTAAATTTCTGATCAATATTTGAGAAAAATTTTCCTAGGACGAGGGGAATCTGTATGTCTGCCCAGCACTCATTAAGTGGTCTGTAGATGCTCAATTTCTGAGCTAACAGACTACCTGAAAGCTACACACCCCGGAAGGCCAAGGATGTGCCACCAAGTCCTAACATTTCTGTATTAAATGAGACATTACCCTATCGAACTGTGCTGCCTCACAGAAATACCATGCAAACCACACATGCAATTCTACGTTTTCTAATAGCCACATTAAAAGAACAAAAAGAGGTGAAATTAATTTTAATAATATGTTTTGTCTAAACCAATACATCTGAACTAGAGGAATCATTAATTAAAATTTTTTTTACATTAAGTCTTTTAAATCCCGTGTGCTTTACACTTTCAGCATGCCTCCCTTCACCCTAGCCTCATGACAAGGGCTCAAGAGCCTGTGTGGCTAGTGGTTGCTGTGTTCCTGCGGGTCCAGAACATCTCTGTGTTCCCTTAAAATTGGCTGCAGATACTGTTACTGTCCTTAAAAAAGATCATGCAACAGAGACAAAATAGGATGTCTCCTCTCATGAAATAAGAGCTTTAGAACTCTTATATGTTCTTTTTCTTGCCCTGTGTATCATGATCACTGATATTTTGGTTCAAATAATAGAGCCTGGGTTTCCTGATATAAACCACATCTATTCCCTTCACTCCATTTTTCTTCTCTCTCAATTTGGGCGCTTGTTCTTAAAGCATTCTCTAGTTATTTTTCTCTTGTGTCTGTGATCTTTTACTATTAGCAGCCTCAAATATATTTTGGCATTGGGACCAAATGAATAATCACGTTTGGTATCGCCCTTGTGTCTGTAGTAAAGCTGAATAAATTCGAACCTTCTAGTCTCACCCGTGTTTGTCATCTCATTGGACAGGGAGACTTCAGAATCACACACGCATGGGAGCACTTATAAGAAACCATTCTGAGAAGAATTAACACACCCAGATGAAAGACTAAGAACTAAATTAGCAGCTCTAAAATAAAAAGGACACAAAAAAACTTATCTACAAAACAGAAACCGACTCACAGACGCACAGAACAAACTTATGTTTATCAGAGGGTGAAGAGGGTGGGAAGGGATAAGTTGGGAATTGGAAATTTGCACCTCTTGGGGAGTGATGGAAATGTTAGCTATCTTGATTGTGGTGATGATTTCATTGGTGTACACATCTTTCAAAATTCATCAAACTGTACATCTGAAATATGTGTAGTTTACTGTACAGGAACCAGACCACAATAAAGGTGTTAAACCACACACACACACACACACACACACACACAAGCAGCAGCTAAATATGACCAATGTTTTCATATCTGAACATACTGTACATCAGAAAAATTGATGACTTTCAATTCATTCTTTCAACGGTTTATTGAATATCCAATCCAGTCCGTTAACTTCTCTCTCCTCTTTTCCATATAGTTTCTTACATTGTCCTGGAAAATTTTAGTTTATGTGTTTCTTTGTGAACATACATTATTATTTTAAACATTTTCCTGTCATATGTTTAATGGTCTAAAACCAAACAATTATTTTACATTTCTTACACCCCACAAATACCTTTAAAATCTAAATATATCAAATGTCTTAATGCAATGTTTTAAATACTGGGTCACAGTATATATGCAACTTCCTATTGAAGGGG